TCTTTGTAGTAGGCAATTCCTTCAATTTCTCTCTCCCCTCCTTTGAACAGTTTCCCCAGGTCTGGCCTCTTGCTCTTGAAGTTGATCTATCAGCTCATCAGTGGTTAGTTCTTCATTGTCCTCCTCCACCAACTCTTCCACATCCTCCCCACTAACCTCCAACCCCAAGGACTTCCCCAATGCCACAATTGATTCCTCAACTGGTATACTCCTCTCAGGGTTAGCCTCAAACCTTCAAAATCCCTTTTGTCTACACATTCTGGCCACAGTTTCTTCCAAGCAGAGTTCAAGGTCTTCTTAGTCACTCCCTCCCAAGCCTTACCTATAAGGTTTATACAATTGAGGATATTAAAGTGATCTCTCCAAAACTCTCTTAGAGTCAGTTGAGTTTCTGAGGTCACTACAAAGCACCTTTCAAACAGAGCTTTTGTGTACAGTTTTTTGAAGTTTGCAATAACCTGCTGGTCCATGGGCTGCAGGAGAGGAGTGGTATTAGGAGGCAAAAACTTCACCTTAATGAAGCTCATGTCCCCATAAAGTCGCTCTGCCACGTCTGTAGGATGACCAGGGGCATTGTCTAACACCAGGAGGCACTTAAGTTCTAATTTCTTTTCAGTTAGGTAATCTTTGACATTGGGGGCAAATGCATGGTGTAACCAGTTATAGAAAAAGTCCCTAGTGACCCATGCCTTACTGTTTGATCTCCACAGCACACACAAATTATCCTTGAGGACATTCTTTTGCCTGAACGCTCTGGGAGTTTCAGAGTGATACACTAATAAGGCTTAACTTTGCAATCACCACTAGCATTGGAAACACATCAACAAAGTAAGCCTGTCTTTCATAGGCTTATGTCCTGGGAGTGCCTTTTCTTCCTGAGTAATGTAGGTCCTGCTTGGCATTTTCTTCCAAAACAGGCCTGTTTCATCACAATTAAACACTTGTTCAGGTTTCAGTCCTTCAGTTTCTATGTACTCCTTGAATTCCTGCACATATTTTTCAGCCGCTTTGTGGTCCGAACTGGCAGCCTCACCATGCCGTATCACACTATGTTATGCCACTACGCTTCTTAAATCTCTCAAACAACCTTTGCTGGCCTTAAATTCACTCACATCATCACTAGTTGCAGGCCTCTTTTTAATTAAATCCTCATGCAACTTCCTAGCCTTTTCGCTTATGATAGCTTGAGAAACTATCTCCTGCTAGCTGTTTTTCATTTATCCACACCAATAAGAGTCTCTCAACATCTTCCATCACTTGCGATCTCTGTTTCGAAAACACAGTTAAACCTTTGGCAAGAACAGCTTCCTTGATTGCCTTTCTGTTGCCCACAATAGTAGAGATGGTTGATTTGGGTTTCTTGTACAACCTGACCAGGTCGGTGATACGCACTCCACTTTCATACTTATCAATGATCTCTTTCTTCATCTCTATTGGAATTCTAACACCTTATTGCTGTAGGGTTGGAACTAGAAGCTTTCTTGGGGCCCATGGTCACTTATTTTCCAGAAACAGCACCGAAAACACTGTAATAATACGAAATATTCTGATTGTATGCTTGAATGTTACCGCGGAGGCTGGCTGGTAAACAATGCCACCGGCGGAACATATGAGGCTGGCTCAGGCCGCACATTGGACGCGTCTCGGACGAAGGGCGCTGAGCGGGTTTTTGGGCGGTATGCGAGGCAAAATTTTAGCGATCAAAGCGTCCGGTATGCGGATTGTCCGTTATGCAAGGCGTCCGGTATGCGGGGGTCCACTGTAGTTAGTATCCTTGTCCAATTATCCATTAGAATTCAGTATGATTCAATAGTGCTTCAGGATTACAATTGGTAGGCTACTAACTAGAGAAATTAAAATTTAATAAATTTATTAAGTCTAGAGGTATATTATCAAATTAAATTAAATTAAATTAATCACAGTAATCAAAATAATATCACATCTCTCGAGTACAATATTATTGTGCTGAAAGCACATATCACATTTATAATTCTTAAGTACCGTCTGGTACATTAACATTTAATAAGATATTACAAATATGTACAAGTAAGTTTGTGTATGTGTGTAAGTGCTCTAAGTACAGTGGATCCCCAGTTAACGATATTTTTTCACTCCAGAAGTATGTTCAGGTGCCAGTACTGACCGAATTTGTTCCCATAAGAAATATTGTGAAGTAGATTAGTCCATTTCAGACCCCCAAACATACACGTACAAACGCACTTACATAAATACACTTACATAATTGGTCGCATTCGGAGGTAATCGTTATGCGGGGGTCCACTGTAGTTCTATGTCTCACGACTCGACTAGACTTAAACAAGTGACTGACAAAGTCCTCACATAAACTAACTTCTTGACCGACTGGCAACCAGAACAGTCTGCTTGAACAACAAAACTCCCATACTACTGAATCTAAGTTCAGCATAAGAAAATCCCCGACTGACAATACACAGAAATCAGTACAAATTAGGTCATAAGCTATAGTTCAGGACCTGGGTTACTCAGAGTGTCTATGAGATACACAACCTCAGTACAACGTCGAAAATCACTAAGTCTATACAATGTTCTGTGAACAGAGTTCTACAGAACTAACAAGAATAATGAGACAGACAATCTGTCCAACCACCAAGCGAGTCTACAGCAGACTGAATACTTCAGGCGAGGTGAGGACACCCCCCCCTCGATCACGTGATAGCTCCGTGGGTTGCTGTCGCTGCCCAACAAGAAGCCGGCAGGGAAACAAGCAAAGAGCGATTGTTACAGTAGTTAGACAATCAAGACTTGAACTGAGCACATAATATGTTACATCCTACCTAACAACATAACTACGTCAAATAACATTATAAAGCAATACATTTACGATTTAGCTATTATCGCAAATATAAGCAATATAAAATTAAATGAAAAGGTAATAATTATATATATACATAATAATCATTGCAACCCATTCAGGGGTTGCAACATGCATTGAGGTATATGTGGAGTCAAAAAACGTTATCTATGGAGGCAAAGAAGGGATTGTATGAAAGTATAATAGTACCAACACTCTTATATGGGTGTGAAGCTTGGGTGGTAAATGCAGCAGCGAGGAGATGGTTGGAGGCATTGGAGATGTCCTGTTTAAGGGCAATGTGTGGTGTAAATATTATGCAGAAAATTCGGAGTGTGGAAATTAGGAAAAGGTGTAGAGTTAATAAAAGTATTAGTCAGAGGGCAGAAGAGGGGTTTGGAACACAATCCAATATGAATACTAATGAAGTCATTGCTAATCGTGCCATTGAACTCCTCGGGGGAACTTTGGGCTCAAAGACACCTGTTCACCCCAACGACCACGTTAATAAGAGTCAGGTATGGTCAGCGTTGCTTTTAGCTTAATAAATTTATTTGTATTAAAATTTTGTGGTAATCATGTACAGTGGACCCCCGCATAACGATTACCTCCGAATGCGACCAATTATGTAAGTGCGTTTGTACGTGTATGTTTGGGGGTCTGAAATGGACTAATCTACTTCACAATATTTCTTATGGGAACAAATTCGGTCAGTACTGGCACCTGAACATACTTCTGGAGTGAAAAAATATCGTTAACCGGGGGTCCACTGTACTAGTAATAGTTAAATAACATTAAATATTTTCTTGGATAGGATAGAATTCGTAGTATGGAAATTAGGATGAGATGTGGAGTTACTAAAAGTATTAGATGGCTGAAGAGGGGTTGTTGAGGTGGTTTGGTCATTTAGAGAGAATGGATCAAAGTAGAATGACATGGAGAGCATTTAAATCTGTAAGGGAAGGAAGGCGGGGTAGGGGTTGTCCTAGAAAAGGTTGGAAGGAAGGGGTAAGGGAGGTTTTGTGGGCGAGGGGCTTGGACTTCCAGCGGGCGTGTGTGAGCGTGTTCGATAGGAGTGAATGGAGATGAATGGTATTTGGGACCTGACGATCTGTTGGAGTGTGAGCAGGGTAATATTTAGTGAAGGTATTCAGGGAAACCGGTTATTTTCATATAGTAGGACTTGAGTCCTGGAAATGGGAAGTACAATGCCTGCACTTTAAAGGAGGGGTTTGGGATATTGGCAGTTTGGAGGGATATGTTGTGTATCTTTATATGTATATGCTTCTAAACTGTTGTATTCTGAGCACCTCTGCAAAAACAGTGATAATGTGTGAGTGTGGTGAAAGTGTTGAATGATGATGAAAGTATTTTCTTTTTGGGGATTTTCTTTCATTTTTGGGTCACCCTGCCTCAGTGGGAGACGGCCGACTTGTTGAAATATATATATATATATATATATATATATATATATATATATATATATATATATATATATATATATATGTATGTATGTATGTATGTATGTATGTATGTATGTAGAGAGAGAGAGAGAGAGAGAGAGAGACAGACAGACAGAGAGATACAGACAGAGAGAGAGACAGACAGACAGAGAGAGAGAGACAGACAGACAGAGAGAGAGAGAGAGAGAGAGAAGAAGAAGACAGACAGACAGACAGACAGACAGACAGACAGACAGATAGACAGACAGAGAGAGAGAGAGAGACAGACAGACAGACAGAGAGAGAGAGAGAGAGAGAGAGAGAGAGAGAGAGAGAGAGAGAGAAGAGAAGAGAGAGAGGAGAGGAGAAGACAGACAGACAGAGAGAGAGAGAGAGAGACAGACAGACAGACAGAGAGAGAGAGAGAGAGACAGACAGAGAGAGACAGACAGACAGAGAGAGAGAGAGACAGACAGACAGAGAGACAGACAGACAGACAGACAACACACACACAGACACACACACACACACACACAACACACACACACACACACACACACACACACACACACACACACACACACACACACACACACACACACACACACAGATTCTTACACTGAGACTTTAATTTGAATAACAATTTAGGAATTTGAACATGTTTGATCAGGAACATTATTGTGTATGTTAGGAAAGGTACAGTACTCTACTCTTATTTTATTTTGTAGAAACCCCTGAAGAAAATCCCAGTGGTTGATATAGCCACAAAAGCGAGCATCCTGGAATGCCCATTGTTGTTGGAAGTAGAAGGGACTACTGTCAAGAAACATCCAGTTCCATCTGTGGCAGAGCACAGAGTGCCCTCTATGGCAGAGAAGGACACAAGTGACAAGAAAGAGTATGATGCAGTAGGCACCTTGCAAGAAGACCCAGGCAGAGCTACACTACAGTCTCAGGTTCAAAACTAATATAAATTTAGTAATTTATGAAGAATAAGCTTACTATAGGTTTGTAAAATCAAGAAGAATTAGGTTTTGTGAATGCCTGTACTAAGAACTACATTGAAGTAAGGGAAACATATAATCTTACAATCAAAGTTCTTTCATTTGCAATGTAGCAACACTATAGAGCTACAAAGGTCAATAATGTAACTCATTTGGATGTAAATATTCCTTGGCTATTTTTTTTTTCAACACGTCGGTCACCTCCAACCAAGGCAGGGTGACCCAAAAAGAAAGAAAATCCCCAAAAAGAAAATACTTTCATCATCATTCAACACTTTCACCTCAATCATACATAATAACTGTCTTTCAGAGGCACTCAGATATGACAGTTTAGAAGTCCCTCCAAACTGCCAGTATCCCAAACCCCTCCTTTAAAGTAAAGGCATTGTACTTCCCATTTCCAGGACTCAAATCCGGCTATTTATCTGCCTCGGTGGGAGACGGCCGACTTGTTGAAAAAAAAAAAATACGACAGAGGGTACAAAACATTCTAAAGATATCCTTCTAGAAATTTCAACTTCGTTAGATATGGTGAAGTATGAGGGAAGTTTTTAAGTTTAAATTTGACACAGGTAATTTATTCTAGGTAGATAAAAAAATACTTATTTTAGTCTCTTTAGCTTGAAGATTTGATTTTTGAGATTCTCTGGGTTTATACCCCCAATCACATGGTATGTGAAAGGATATTTAAGTGGATGTCTTTATTGCTGGTTGTTAAACATTAGTAATAACTGATGAAAAATTACCCAAAGATTATCTTGAATAAAGAAAATTGACTATTACATTAACTTGAAAATTATGAGCATGAAGTAATGCAATATACATTATTAATGTTGGTTAATGTTTATCTTTTAATAGCCTGAAAATAAATCACAAGCAAGTGTATCATTACCATCTGCACCTAGGACTTCACATCAGTTTACAGAGGACTGGAATAAACTGTCTCATCAGGTCTCTCAGGCTATTAAATACTTAAAGGTTTGTATTGAATTAATAAAAAGTTTATTTGCTAGCTTGACCATTTGGTCATTTATCTAATATTTATATGTGAGTTTTAGTCATTGCAGTTAGGAGGAGGCTGAAAGCAGTGTAAATGTTGCATCTTATGTGTGGTGTAAATATTATTCAGAGAATTTATAGTTTAGAGATTAGGCAGTATGGGGTTACTAAAAGTATTATCCAAAGGGTTGAGAAGACTTTGTTGAGGAAGTTTGGAGCAAAATAGGGTGACCTGGAGGGTGTATAAATTGTAATAGAGGGAAAGAATGGTAGGGGTTATCCAAGGAAGTGTTGGAGGTTTTGAGTGCTAGGGGGCTTGGACATCTAATAAGCATGTGTAAGCTTGTTAGATTGGAGTGAGTGGTATTATGACCTGATATGCTGTTCAAGTGTGAGCAAGGTAACATTTATGAGGGGATTCAGGGGAAACTGGTTAGCTAGATTTGAATCCAGGAGGTGAGAAGTATAGTGCCTACACTCTGAAGGAGGGGTAGGGATATTGCAGATTGGAGAGTCATCTGAGCTACATGTAAAGCTGGCATGCTTTTTGCAAGACAGTGAGTAAATGATGGCAAAAGTGTCTCTTAATATTAAAGCTTCGGTGGTACATCTAATAGCGTTGTTGAATTATTCTCTTATTTTAACCTGCAGATCATTCAGCCTAAGTTCTTCACCAGTGCAGATTTAGATGCTGATACCCTGATTAGTGTAATATCAACCCTTAGGACTGAAGAGATATCACCTCTACAAGCAGCTCAATATATACTTGCATTCTCTCAATCAAGTGGATTTTCAGTTAATATCATGTTCTTGAATGAGAGTCAGAAAAAAGGTAAGCAGATTTTTGTTTCGTTTTCTTTGAGACTGGGGCCCATGGTCAAGGTACATATTAGATTGGTGATCATAAAGAATGGTTTCCTCTAGGGGATCCACCATCCTTACTTGCTCTGGCACTTGGGCTGCAGCCCGAATACCAGGAGTAGCTTAAATGAAACAGAGCATTTTACCAGCAAGAACACCGGCCCTGACACCAGAACATCAATGATGATTGTAGCTAACTGCTACACCACTGAAGAAGACTCACTGTACCCTTATCATTGGGCTGCCCCTGCCATAGGGCTGTAAATGAAGACAGCTAACTGCACCCTTGTCATAGGGCTGTAAGCAGTACTCCACTTGACAAGAATGCTCACCGTGCCCCTACCATAGGGCTGTAAATGGTGCATCACTTGTGTAGATTCCGACATTATTTCGGGAGCCACTGCCGGGTCACTATATGGAGAAGACCTTTCCTGGCAAACTTACGTGAACATGTTTCCTCTAACATGATAATGAAAGTCTGTTTCCTGGAGAGGGAGCTCAACAGTGTCATTCAGGATGTTTCAAATTGCCTCAAAGCTATATAAATTATTGGATATCACTGGCTAGGATACATTTTATTTGTTCCAGCATCAGAAACCTATACAGCAAGAAAGGCTCAGTCTTTGTCCAAGGACTGGAAAGTTTCCATTCCTTGGAAAAATATATTTCTTCTTTCTTTCTTTCAACGCACCAGCCGTATCCCACTGAGGTGGGGTGGCCCAAAAAGAAAAACAAAAGTTTCTCATTTTAAATTTAGTAATAGTATATACAGGAGAAGGGGTTACTAGCCCCTTGCTCCCGGCATTTTGGTCGCCTCTTACAACACGCATAGCTTACGGAGGAAGAATTCTGTTCCACTTCCCCATGATGATAAGAGGAAATAAACAAGAACAAGAACTAGAAAGAAAATAGAAGAAAACCCAGAGGGGTGTGTATATATATGCTTGTACATGTATGTGTAGTGTGACCTAAGTGTAAGTAGAAGTAGCAAGACATACCTGAAATCTTGCATGTTTATGAGACAGACAAAAAACACCAGCAATCCTACCATCATGTAAAACAATTACAGGCTTTTGTTTTACACTCACTTGGCAGGACGGTAGTACCTCCCTGGGTGGTTGCTGTCTACCAACCTAATACCTAGGAAAAATATATTTATATTTTTTAAATGTGGATCCTGTGAGCACTTAATTTTGGGGCTTTGGACAGTGAAACTGTTAAAAAGAGATGGAGTCACCAAAGATATAATTCAAAGGGCTAAGAAGAGGTTGATGTGGTTTGATCATACCGAGAGGATGGAAACTAATAGGATGACAAAGAGGGTGTATAGATCTGTGGGCGACAGAGGTTGTGGTCATCCAGGAACAGTGGGAATGGAGGGAGGGAAGGAGAGGTAAAGGAGGCTTTGAACTGTAGGGGCTTGAGCATCCAGCAGAATTATGTGAACGTATTAGATAGGAGTGAATTGAGACTAGGTAGTTTGTAACAGATAATGATGTTGAAGTGTGAGCAAGGCAACATTTATGAAGATAGGAAGGGCAGTGCCTACTAAGTTAGTGATTGAATGAATGATGGTGAATGTGTTTTCATCTTTGGGTTACCCTGCCATGGCAGGGGACAGCTGTTGATGTAAAAAAGTAATACTAGCATAGATTTCTGGCATGGGGGACACAATCCCATCTAGGAAAAAACAACGTACCAGTATGGTCGTCTGTAATGCAGTAGAGAATATTTATTGTAAGTGAAGCAATTCAGAACATCTTCATTGCAAGGGTTGATCTTCCCTGAGGTCATTACACGACTGAAGGAAACCATTCTTTACAATCACCAGACTGGCACATACCCAAGACCATGGCACTGGCTTCTCCCAAGGAGCAAAGGTTTAATGTTGCCATAATTTGCCATGTTGCCCGAGATACTGTTATCACCAACAGTTTTGTAGATATTTGTCATGCGTGTTTACCTGTTAATAATGCTAAACAAACATAATTTGCATTTCAGTCATATATGATGTGATATCGAAGTGTGAGGAAGAAGAATCTTACAACACACAAATCAGGAACCTGAAGAACTTGCTAGACAATGAATCATAATTCTTCACATTGGATCTTACGAACCTTCAGTGGTTATTTAATTTTCTGAATATTTCCCTATAATGTTCTTTATTATGGGTACATAAGTTAAATTTCTTTTTGTAATATTTTTTCAGTAAATTTAAAATTGTATCTTTTTTTTTGTCTTGCCATTTAAAAATTTTATTATGGCATATACACTGTTGTATTCCATGCACATTATTCATGTTTTCCCTCGATTTATGCATATTCACTGCAATACAATATCATATACAGTGGACCCCCGGTTAACGATATTTTTTCACTCCAGAAGTATGTTCAGGTGCCAGTACTGACCGAATTTGTTCCCATAAGAAATATTGTGAAGTAGATTAGTCCATTTCAGACCCCCAAACATACACATACAAACGCACTTACATAAATACACTTACATAATTGGTCGCATTCGGAGGTAATCGTTATGCGGGGGTCCACTGTACATGGTAATTCCAAATATGAGTTAACATTAGCTGTGTGTAATCTACGTGGTTTCTCAAAGCATGTAATGTACATTATTACTTCCTGCCCAATGCATGAATTATTAGAACTATTATAATCAAAGAAAGCACTGAACCAGTACATGAAATCATCAATCATTGGAGAGAATATTTTGCAACTCAAAATATTCTCCTCTCTATTTTTCAGGCACCTACACCTCTCTATTAACATCTTCCCCCTTTTTTGTTCTAAACTACCAAATCCATTTGCTGTCAAGGCTTTCTCAGTTTATTAATCTCACTACTCTTCCACATTCATACACTTCCTCAAATGTATTTTTATTGGGAAAGCACTAAACCTGTTGGGTTCAAGACAGTGATGGAATGAATGACGGTGAATGTTGTCTCCCCGCCATGGTAAGAGAACCTTTTCTTGCCAGACATGATGACAAAGAATGTTCATTCACCATCACCCCTTGAGGGAGGTTCCATGATGCTGGTGAGTGGCTCTTGATCTAGGGAATTGGATCTGTGCTCTGGTTCCCTTAATTGAGCCTGAATACCTTCCATCCCTCCCCCCACATGCGCTGTATAATCCTACGGCTTTAGCGCTCCCCCATAATTATAATCATTCATCATCATTCGTGAGGACAAGGACTTGTCCGGCAAATAGGACCAGAGTACAAGAGGTGGGAAGGATAGTGCTTGCAGAAGAGGGACCAATTGTTTAAAAAAAATACATGCGCTTCTTTAACACAAAAAAATATCTACATATACAAGGATTCTCATATTTGAAGGGCAAACAAATTTCTATTATTTTTTAAATTTATTTATAGTTCTCAAAACCTAGTTGATTATATACAACAATGTATATGTTAAGAATCTAGAAGTTAACGACAAGTCATTCCAAACAAACTCCTTATATCACATAAGGAAATAGATGATGTCCATATAAAAGCAACATTATTGACACTGCTTTAGTAATGTCTTCATATTAGTGCTTTTAATATAACAATGCCTTTACAAGAGATGTTTGCTTTCTTAAACACTAAGTTTCAATGGCTGTAGCAAATGCATACAGTATCATATAAGAAACAGGTACACTCAAGTCAGAGTAAACAAATTTTTCCATTTCCAACTTCTTACCTGTATGACCCTTGTGGGTTTAGCACTTAGTTATGATTATAATAATAATCCAACTTCTTACATTTTTACAGTATCCAACTTCTTATATTGTTACTAATAGTAGTATATAAAAAACAAAGGACTAATCCCACATTGGTCATTTAGTTATTTGTTCTTTAACCATAAAGAAAAAAATGTGTCACCATTACAAAAAAGCTAAATTGTGTGTGTGGAGAGGGGGTGGGAGTACAATCTGTCTTGTAAGCACAAAAAAAGTTCTTCACACAGTAAGTTTGATTAGGCACTAAAATTACAAAAATAATTGCAGAGCATTGTCTTAATGTGTATAAAAATACAAGCTTCCTCAAAGCTTCAGAAAAAAATCAACGAGATGATGATGATGAAGAACGTGAATATCTCCTACGCCTAGGAGGTGTCCGCGAACGAGAACGAGGAGACCTTCGCCGTGGTGGAGAACGTCTGCGCATTGGTGGTGGTGATCGACGACGCATCCTGCAACATATTAATTAATAACAATTTTAGCAAGAATGACCTAAAATGGGAAAAGTAAATATCAGTTGTCAATTTTCTTGTACTGTCTGTCTAAAAGCTAAACGAGTGACAAGTGAAAGAGGATGTCAGTTTTGAGGGGTTGTCCCTATGCAGACTTTGGAGGGGTATTGGTGCCAGGAAAGACTTTCTAAAAGGAATGGACCTATCTTCCAAACGAGACTATCTCCTATTTTGGAGGCAGTGCATGATCCCTATGGATTTAGTGCCCCCATGACATAGTTCAGTTGCTAACACGTAGAATCTTCAAAAATGTTGAAGGACAAGCTAAAACAAACTACATTATGTCCTACAGTAAAAGCTACAGTACAATGTTGTTGTCACTTAGAAAATGAGAAATTTATTAATGTAGACTAAAGTATCCTGAGTATACATATCATTTACAAAGTCACACTAACAGGGAAGGGACAAGAGAGGTAGGATTATTATTATTGTAATCAAAGGGGAAGCGCTAAACCCGGAGGATTATACAGCGCCTGGGGGGGGGGGGGATGTGGAAGGCATTCAGGCTTAATTTGGGGAACTGGAGCACAGATCCAATTCCCCTCACCAACATCAAGGAACCTTCCTTGAGGGGAGAGGTAGTAGGAAAGGACGAGAGGTAGTGGTAAAGGTAGTAGTATAGTAGAGTCGGCCAAAGACTAAGAAAAAGGAGCACTGCAGAGGGGGGGAAAATAATAATGGACGAAATACCCAAAGCAGAAGAAAGAAAACCCGAAGGAGAAAGAGGAAAGGGGTAGAGGGCGAAGGGGAAAAAATGAATCAGATCAAGTCACATTTTACAATGTGAAAAAAGAAAGGACTAAGATTCATACAAGGACAGTTGTGTATAAAGGAGGATACAACTAGATGACAACTGTGAAAGTTAGACATAGGGTAGACAGTTTTGGCAGAAGACCAGTCAGTAGGATGACTGTGATCTCTGACATGACAGAAAAGAGCATTGTTGGTGTCAGCAAGCCTAACACTACTTTTGTGCTCTCTGAGTTTGTCAGAAAGAGAACAGCCAGATTTCTCCAAAGTACTGAACTAGATTGGTGTGAAGAGTGTTAGTCTGCCGAAATGTAAGTCTGATGTCTAAGGAACGGAGAGTTGTTGAGATTAGAAACACTGGAAATACAGGGAAGGAAGAGGAGAGTTCCAAGAGTAGAGTTCGGGAGAGAAGAAAGTCCATTTAGCACGTGAGAAGGCAGTCTATGAAATGGGAAGGGTAGCAGAGAACTGAGGATCACAAATGCAGAGAGCATGGAGAAAGCAGGAGATAAGAACACTGTTTTTGACAGAGGAAGCATAAGAAAAGTAGTGAATGTACATGCCACTCTGCATATGCTTATGGTGCACGGAAAAAGCAAAACCTGTATCTGAGCGGTGGACATGAACATCAAAGAAAGGAAGCAAGGAACTGGATTCCCATTCAGCTTTAAACTATGTAAATGCAAGGGGCAAGATTATTAAGGGTATCAAGAAATGGCTGGAAGAGACTAAAGCCATGAGGCCAAAGAGCAAAGATATCATCTACATAGCGGAGCCAGAGTGAAGGGCCATTTGTGTATTGTTCAGTCACAGTATTGTGTCTTCTTGTTGTTTACCACACCCCATGCCATGCACTTCACCCCGCTTCCCATGCCGCTCATTTAAGATGAGGGTGTGAGGTTCTTCACATATGCTAATGTGTTCCCAGGTTGGAAGGAAGGGTAGTAGTATACCACAGAAACACCCACCATGCATAATATATCAATGCATAGTGATAAAATAACTAACTGAACTCAGAAATGTTACCCTGCTCACTCAAACAGCACATCCATTATAGATAAAATATATAGGGGCCTGAGCATCAGTAGGTAATAGTGAATGATGGATAGAAGTGAATAGAGACAAGGGTTTTTTGAATAAGCATACTCGTGGAGTATGAAGGAATTCAAGGAAACCAGTGAGTTGGATTTGGAGGCAGGAAGTAATGCCTACACTCTGAAAGCGGAAGATGACAATTGAGTGAATGTTGGTGAATAAGTTTTCTTTGAGTGACCCTGTTTTGGCAAGAATACATCTATATCAGTGCAAACAAAATAAAATTTAATTACATGGCATATCTTGGTGGTGATCTCCAACGTGGTGGAGGGCCTCGACGAATGGGCATAGGTAGTGGTGAACGGCGACGAGGAGGAATTTGGCGTGGTATGAGCACTGGGGCCGCAGTTATCTCCTGACCATCTATCTGTCCACCATCCATGTGCTTCATAGCATTTTCTGCATCCTCTGGCTTCTCAAAATCAATGTATCCATAACCACGATTTAATATAGCACTAACACGCCTGCAAAAACAACAAATTGCTTGTAATAATATTGGTAGAATTACCGACAATGTGTAAAGTAAAAAGACACAAGTGCAAATAATGTGACATTTTTATTGTGGCAACGGCTTGACAAAGCTCCTGGAGCACTAACAAGCCTGCAAAAACAATAAATTGCTTGTAATACTGTTGGCAGAATTACTGACAATATGTAAAGTAAATTGCTTGAAATAACCATCAGTTTAGTTTTTCTAACAAATTCTAAGTGATCTATAGAGTACAGCCTCTCCTCACTTAGTGACGTACTTGTTTACTGACGGGCTCTGACCAGTATACATACCTAAATAATGTATATTTGAGTTGATTTCCTCTATTCTGTTTATTATAATATACAGTACACTACTGTATAAACATTTAAAAATATACTAGAAATGTTATAAATGGTGTAATATCAAAGATCACAGACACAAACCCACTACCATTATAGTATGCGCCTCAGTGATGAATTCGTTTACCAATGTGGTCTTGAGAACAGAACTCTGTCATTAAGTGAGGGGAGGCTGTATACACTCAACATTATGGGATAAGTAGGAAATCATCCAAATTTACTTTAGAAAGCATCAACCACTGAATTAAGAATAAAAATTGAATGTTAGCATTGCTAATACAAAAATAAAAGTAAGTTTAAAAATAGTAGAATTACTAATGTGACATTTTATTGTAACCACATTTTGCTCCTAGAGAGCAAAATGTTACAAACAATACAAGGACACAGATGGTATACAGGTATCACATGAGGTAGAGAGTGAAACAAATAGTCATAATAAAATGTCACATATCTACTTCAAAATGCCAATTATCTATATATTCAAACACATAATTAACCACTTACATGTCATACATTGGGAGATCAACACTCTTCACTGTACCATAAAATGAAAATATTTCATGAAGATGATCCCTATTAACATTGCGAGTTAAACGGCCGACATGGATTCTAGTTGGCCTTGGAGTGGGTGAACGAGGTTTTCTTCTTGGTCGTGGTGATCCAGACCTGTGAAAATAGAAGTCAAGATACTGAACTACACGCTTTGATATGGAATAACAGAACATTTCCATTATTAAACTAGGTCTCTTATAGCTGCTGTACAATCTGAGTAAGGCATCTCAGTATTCCATAACCCTAACAACAGGACTACTGCAGGGCACTTATACTTTTAAATTAGATTAATTTCTTAAAAGTTGGTAGATCATAATTATACCTTATTGATGCTAGAAATGTGAAAGATACACCATTTTTAAGTACATTTGAAAGTGGATAGGCCTCTTATCAACTCTGAATCTGTATATCTGCACAAGTGTCATAAATTCCCTGAAACACTGACCTTGAGCGAGATTTGGAGGGCTTTTTTGGCTTTTGTTTCTTCTCATGGCTCTGACTACGGCTCTTTTCTGCACTAGTCTTGAATGCAGATCTGTTAAGAAGACAAATGGTATGAATAAACTCCCATCTTTTATGGTAAATGGAGCTAACATGCTCTTAACCCCTTGACTGTTGCAACCCCAAATCCTGAGGTGTCTCCTGGTGTCGCGAAATTTAAAAAAAAAATTCTTATGAAATGATAGAGAATCTTTTCCCAATTGTAATGACACCAAAAGAACAAATTTTGATGGAAAACTGAAGGCGCGAGGTTAGCGACCTCGGCAATTTCACCCACTTTGAGCCCTATTTTCGGCTAATTCCACTGTTCCAGTCGACCAAACTCATAGCTATTTCTTTAGAACTCCATTTTTTTCTATCAATTGAGTACAAGAAACTGCACATTTACCAATTTCAACTACCCAATAACATGGTCAGAAATTTGCAATTTGGCCAATTTCGCAAAAATTAAAAAATATGACAATTTCAAAATAGGGTCCAGAATGAACAATGCAGACATTCCTGGCTCTAAAATAACATTTTCTTTGTTCATCAGTCATGTCTCCAGGCCCCTCTGATATTACTCTTGTTTTCTATTTTGAATTTTTATTCAAACAAAAAATAGAAGATTTACCGTTATGCAGACTACTGCAATATTGCAATAACTGTATAAATAATGTCAACCCATACATGACTGCATATTAGAATGGCTACTTGGACATTTATTGGAAAATTACATCATTTGTTTACTTTTGAACATAGGCAAAAATCAAAGATTTCCCCTACTTTGAGCTCCAAGAAAATGAGAATACAACCATAAATACTATACAAAAATAGACCACAAAGCCGGCATTTTAATTAAAAAAAAAGGTCGGAGATTTTTTTCTCATTATGCACTGTGTGCTGCAGGATTTTTTTTTATATGGTGCACACTGACCACACAGACCCATTCTCTCACATGTGGGCCTACCAGCTTTCTCCTGCTTGATTTGAAGCCGCTAGAATTTATGAGTATATATACGTCAAAAACGGTGGCTTGTAAGACGTATATATATGACCAAAACAGTCAAAGGGTTAATTTTTAAAATAGCTAAAGACTGGAAGCTTAACTGATAAAGTATATTTTGTAGCATGACTAAAATAAATAAATAAATATATATATATAAACATGCAAGATTTCAGGTAATATATTTGAGATGAATATAAGATAATTAAAGATACTTTAAAGGATGAATGAGGTCCAAAATGAGGCTGCTGGTGAATTTTAGTAGATTACTATATAAAATATTTAAGGCTGCCATTCAGTGTGATTTTTCAAAAAAATTTGACTGAGTTTAGTGTCAAGATTTTCCTAAGTGCTTTAAAAATGTCATACAATACCATAAAAGGAATACCATAGATAGTATTCAATATTAACTCACCTGGTATCATCTTTCTTGTCTTTGTCCTTCTCCTTTTCCCTAAATTATAAAAAAAAATATAAATATGCAAGATAAATCAACTAAATATTCAATATATGGATCCAGTACATGCACCTTGTCTGTTAATGTTTTATTATTTCCAGCACAATTTACATTTTATTGTAATAATAGGAAGCTGGGCTACTTGCCCAATATTGAAAACCAGAGATTCAGATGTGTGTGCATTTACAACAGGTGAAACTTGAACATCTAAAGCATCAGGTCCCAATGAAATACCCATATTAAAACACAATCCTTTACTCTTTTAAATAGTTGGGGGAAGGGGAACCTAGCTCCAGTATGCCAGTGGATGGTTAAGCATGGGTATACAGCACCAGTAAGACAGACTGCTTTATCACTTAATACCTAATACTTATTCATGGTTTAATCAATGAGCAGATCATCTGACACTCTTCAGGAAATGTTTTTTTTTTTTTTGTTCCCTGACAAATTACCACCAAATACAGTATCAACAAAACAGTATGTGAAATACTGAACAAGCCACCTACACAGGTCTTTAAAATATCAAGCAGCTAGAAGGAAATACTTAACAAAAGATGAAATGAAAAGACTGAGGATAGAAGACTTCAGGAATGGACACTTAAGAGCAGAGTTTTGATTCTGAGAGATAGGATGACGAGACCTAATACAGAGAAAACAAACAGAACAACATCAGTAACAAAGACTTATCCAAAATGTTTCTTTTTATATAATTGTGATCCTTGAGTGTAAAACTCGCCATCGCATGAAATGGAACTCTCGAAACTTTCAAAGGAGAGTATAGCAAGTGCTGTCTGAACTGAAGGAAAGAGCTACAGTGAAAGAACTGAAATCTTTCATCACTAGAAGAAAAACTATGAGGGTATGTGAACACAACACAAAAAAATACTCTGGGGCATAAACAAGGTAAACAAGGATTGGCTTTTTACCAAGAGATGCAAAAAGAATAGGAAAATGTTTTAAGGTACATAAACAAGTCCCAGGAAGTCACATAAAATTCCCAGGGAGTCATGTAAAGTTTAACAACCAAGGCCAAGTAGCTTAAGTTCAATCTTTGCAAAAATAGGTAAGTGAATATAGATAACTGCATACCTAATGGTAAAACTTACTTTGGTTTATTCTCCTTATCTCTTGATCTTGATCGTGATGAAGATGATGACGTCGATGATGATGATGATCGTGAAGAGGAACTACTGCTTGAGGAACTGTCTGAACTGCCTGAAGATCCAGATGAGCTTCTCGACGAACTATAAATGCAGTTAATATTCATTCAATTTTATGATTACCAGCAGGATGGCTATTAATTAACCATTAGTGTATCTTTTTTAATACTGCTACCAATTCAAAAATTAAATGGTATTATAAAAATATTCTCTACTAAGCATATATTATTAAAAATTCATACTCTTACCCTAATAGACATACATAGCTGTAGCTTTAGCATGTAAAAATTAAAATAGATGTACAATTTCCTTAACCTTTTCCTGTATGCAAGATACCCAATAAAAAATGAGCTTTAAAACCTCAACATGAACTAAAGTATATGTGGTAGTCTTACAATGTTTTATTGAATTATTCTGCCAAATTAAAATTCTTTATACAACATCGACTCCAAATGATCTAAAAGAAAATTGAGAAGTTTCAAACATTCAGGTACAATTCTTGCAGAAATTCATGTGTGCCTGGCTGCTCACTAACCCAAGATTAATTATGGTCTGGCAATATGGGAAGTGAAAAACCACACTGAGAGCATGAGCTGCCTTACCTTCTACTGGAGCTGCTGTCACTGCTAGACGACTTTTTTCTTGGCTTCTTTTCCTTATCACGAGACTTTCTTTCTTTTTCAGAGGCACTGGAAGATGCTGAACGACTTCGGCTTCTACTGAGAACCCTAAAATGATAAATTTATATATATGTATTAATAATGAATAATAAAATATTTGAATCCTGAATCCTCATAGAAAATATTTCTGATACATGGGATTTACTATTTTTTCCCGTGAATTTATGTCCTTTATATATTATGAAGACCAAAAATCCACCATAATCTAAATGAGGCAAATTTCTTTCTTGGAAGATAATGATAAAATATTATATTTTGGCATGAGTAGGATAGCAGTGGAAACAAGTAAATTTATTTAGGCACAGGTCTCAGGTTGGGCCACGGGGGCATTAACCCCCAAAACCTTCTCCATGTATACTCCAGGTATACAGGTACACATAAGTACAATTATCATACACAGTAACATGTGCAAAATACCTAGGATAACCCAACAGTCAGACAGTTACTTATATCCACTGAGGTCCTTGTAATATCTTATTATTTAAACTTTAAAAGTTAAAAAGTTTCAATAGAAACATACTAGGAATAAGGTAAACTGAGTTATGTACATTAACATTACAAAGAGGAGCAGCTTACACAAACAGGTACATAAATATCGACTATACAAGAAATCATCAATTAGGTAATTTACACTATGCGTGATAATTGTGCTTAACAATTTTTGTGCAGTATAAAAATGTAGTTTACATGTAATAAAATATTATTCAGTATAAAAAAAAACCACTAACATGCATGTGCATTTCGGGAAGAAACCTGTCCCTAAATAAAGTTACATTTCTGCCAGAAATGCACACCATACTAGTGCCTTTATATGCTTAGCAATACTTCATTATATGTAAACTAAATTTTGTAAACTGTATACTGAAGACAAAAATAGTTTGTTTTACTTACTGTACAAATCAAACTATATTTAATCCCAGACAAGCAACTGTTTCAAAATTATAATCAACTGTAAAAGTTAATAATTAAAGTTAATAAATTGCTCAATGTGAGTGAGACTTACTGCCAGCTGCATCACTAACATGGCGCCGCCTCTCAACACCTGAATACTTACATGATGCTGCACACACTGTGTTGATGGTGTGTGTGGCTGCCTGAGTACACCTCTAAGTGTTGCTGGTGATTACACAAGCTGTAGCTCAGCACATGTACCAACAAGTAATAAGTTACAACTAAGTGGTTATCCAGGCGTCACCCAGCTGCTGCTGCTGCTGTTGTCTCTGGGGTTGTTCAGGGCCACCAAGCTAACGTACTGTGTCAGACTGTTGACTACCTGGACACAGGATACACAAGTATATATATGGTGGCGAGTCAGGTGTTGGTAGGTAAGACAGGTGTTGACTGCTGGAGAGGTTGGATTTATGATGGGCCTGCTCTGGATAACATAATAACATACACACTTGCCCATCTCCCTGGACTAATTATGTACCTCTGTAATCTTTTGACTACCGCCCACAGGATGGGTATGGGGTGCATAATAAACATATTAAACTAAAAACTAAACTTGCCCATCTCGTGCAGGTCCACCTCAAAACTGACCTAATCTGCCCGAAATGCTCTACATAACATGTTCTTATGTTCTTATGTTCGGCCTGGAGAAGTTCAGTTCCATAGTCAGGAACTGACTATGCATATGTTGCATATGTGTCTTACCTAACAACATAACAAAGGGCTTTCTATATACGTAGTAGTAGTAGTAGTAGTATAGCACTGAAATTAAGAACATACTAATGGAGGAACACTGCAGAAGGCCTACTGGCCCATACAAGGCAAGTCCTTATCAAAACGATCTCTATCCAAAACTACCCAAGAATTAACTCCCGTACTCAATGACACCAATCAAACCCAGGCCCTCCCACTGATATATTTGTCCAACCTCTTCTTAAAGCTACCCAAGGTCTTAGCCTCTATCACCCTAAGAACATAAGAACATAAGAAGGAGGAACACTGCACGGGTGTTGGCCCCTACTAGGAAGTCCTTTACAAAAATCCCCCTAAAAAAAACATTTGCCCCCAACCCCCAAATTTTCAAAGCTACATAAAAAATAAGAACTAAAAAGGAGGAACACTCAGAAGGCCTGTTGGCCCATACCGGTCCCCTTTCAATTCATCCCACAAAAAAAACATTTGCCCAACCCCCAATTTTTCAAAGCCCCCCAAAAAACAAGCCCGGTGCAAGCCCACTCAATCCAACCCCTCCCCTCATACTTATCCAACCAAATTTGAAACTACCCAAATCCCCAGCCCAAAAACCCCAAATAGGTAGAAAAAGTTCCCCTCATAACTACCCCATTTCCAAACCAATACTTTCCCCATGTCCCGGTATGAAAGTCCCACTCAAATCCAACCCTTCCCACTCAAAGAACATAAGAATGTAGGAACACTGCAAAAGGCCTACTGCCCATCCCGAGGCAGGCTTATCAAAACGACATCTACCTAAAGCACCCAAGAAATAACTCCCGAACCCCATGAACCAATCAAACCCAGCCCCTCCCACTCATATATTTGCCCAGTCCCTTAAAGCTCAAATCCCCCCCAAATGGAAGACTGTTCACGCATCTACAACCTGTTGAAACCAGTTTACTTACCAAAGACAATTCCCACTAAAATTATCCAAACCCCTTAAATCCATTATTCCTGGTTCTTACCTGTTGGGAACACTAAACCCCTCAGCCCTTATAAAGTTCCTGTTTGCCGTCTTTAAAAAAAAAGGGGGGGGGAAATGTGGAACCTGCAGGGGGTATGGCCCTGAGGCGGGTCTTTAAAACGATCTCACCTAAAGCTACTCAAGAACAACTCCCGCCCCCCCCACACCAACAAACCCCCGCCCCTCCCCCCTCATATATTTGTCCAGTCTCTTCTTAAAGCTCCCCAAAGGCCCTAGCCTCTATCACCCCACTGGGAAGACTGTTTCCACGCTCTACAACCTGTTAGAAAACCATTTACTTACCTAGTCCTTTCTAAATAAGATAAGATAAGATAAGATTTCGTTCGGATTTTTAACCCCGGGGGGTTTCCACCCGGGATAACCCAAAAAAGTCAGTGCTCATCGAGGACTGTCTAACTTATTTCCATTGGGGTCTTAATCTTGTCCCCCAGATGCGACCCACACCATCGACTAACACCCAGGTACTATTAGGCTGGAGGTGAACAGGACAACAGGTGTAAGGAAAGGCCCAAATGTTTCCACCCCCCGGGGAAAATCGAAACCGGGCCCCCGTGTGTGGAAGGGGGAGTTTTTAGCCACCCAACCCGGGTCCACTTAATCCATTATTCGGTTTTTTACCTGGTCGACACCCTCGTATTTTAATTAATGTCCCCCTTGTTTATCCCCGTCCATCCCACTTATAACTTCATTGATATCTACCCTCATTCAAACGCCTCTCCAGGAGGAGATTTAAGGCTTTAAGTCTAACTTCATACGGGAGGTTTCCCTTACACAGTTAAATCATTTTAGTCATTCTTCTCTGTATGTTCTCTAATGAGTCTATGTCCATCCTGTAGTAAGGGGACCAAAACTGAGCAGCATAATCTAAATGAGGCCTCACTAGTGATGTATAGAGCTGTAAAATAACTTTTGGACTTCTGTTACTTATACTTCTTGAGATAAATCCAAGTAATCTGTTGGCCTTGTTGCGCACACTGAGGCACTGCTGTCTTGGCTTTAGATTTCTGCTTACCATGACTCCCAAGTCTTTTTCACATTCTGTATGACCAAGCTCTACTTAACATAAGAACATAAGAACATAAGAAAGGAGGAACACTGCAGCAGGCCTGTTGGCCCATACTAGGCAGGTCCTTTACAATTCATCCCACTAACAAACATTTGACCAACCCAACTTTCAATGCCACCCAAGAAACAAGCTCCGATGTGCAAGTCCCACTCAAATCCAACCCCTCCCACTCATGTACTTATCCAACCTAAATTTGAAACTACCCAAAGTCCTAGCCCAATAACCCCAAATTTGGTAGACGTTCCACTCATCAACTACCCTATTTCCAAACCAATACTTTCCTATGTCCTTTCTAAATCTAAACTTATCTAATTTAAATCCATTACTGCGGGTTCTCTCTTGGAGAGATATCCTCAAGACCTTGTTAATATCCCCTTTATTAATACCTATCTTCCACTTATACACTTCGATCAGGTCTCCCCTCATTCTTCGTCTGACAAGTGAATGTAACTTAAGAGTCTTCAATCTTTCTTCATAAGGAAGATTTCTAATAAGAACATAAGAACATAAGAAAGGAGGAACACTGCAGCAGGCCTGTTGGCCCATACTAGGCAGGTCCTTTACAATTCATCCCACTAACAAACATTTGACCCACCCAATTTTCAATGCTACCCAAGAAATAAGCTCTGATGTGCAAGTCCCACTCAAATCCAACCCCTCCCACTCATGTACTTATCCAGCCTAAATTTGAAACTACCCAAAGTCCTAGCCTCAATAACCCAACTAGGTAGACTGTTCCACTCATCAACTACCCTATTTCCAAACCAATACTTGCCTATGTCCTTTCTAAATCTAAACTTATCTAATTTAAATCCATTACTGCGGGTTCTCTCTTGGAGAGATATCCTCAAGACCTTTTTAATATCCCCTTTATTAATACCTATCTTCCACTTATACACTTCGATCAGGTCTCCCCTCATTCTTCGTCTAACAAGTGAATGTAACTTAAGAGTCTTCAATCTTTCTTCATAAGGAAGATTTCTAATGCTATGTATTAATTTAGTCATCCTACGCTGAATGTTTTCTAACGAATTTATGTCCATTCTGTAATATGGAGACCAGAATTGAGCTGCATAATCTAGGTGAGGCCTTACTAATGATGTATAAAGCTGCAGTATGACCTCTGGACTTCTGTTGCTTACACTTCTTGATATAAATCCCAGTAATCTATTTGCCTTATTACGTACGCTTAGGCATTGCTGTCTTGGTTTAAGGTTGCTGCTTACCATAACCCCCAAGTCCTTTTCGCAATCTGTATGGCTAAGTTCTGGAAATAAATGGTATAAAATACCGACACAATGGCAATATAAACACAAATGCAGTATAATGTGATCCTTTATTGACTACGTTTCGCCCACACAGTGGGCTTTTTCAAGTCACAAACAGAACTACCTGGGGTGGAAGGAACGCGAGTATTTATAGTCCGGCTGAGGTCAGGTGAAGAATGCTGCATCTGATGATGTACCGAGTTGGGTTGTAGAGTCTAAAAACTTGGGTAGCTTGGAAAGGAGACTGGACAAGTTTGTGAGCAGACCTTCTACAGTGTTCTTATTCATAAGAACACTGTAGAAGGTCTGCTCACAAACTTGTCCAGTCTCCTTTCCAAGCTACCCAAGTTTTTAGACTCTACAACCCAACTCGGTACATCATCAGATGCAGCATTCTTCACCTGACCTCAGCCGGACTATAAATACTCGCTTTCCTTCCACCCCAGGTAGTTCTGTTTGTGACTTGAAAAAGCCCACTGTGTGGGCGAAACGTAGTCAATAAAGGATCACATTATACTGCATTTGTGTTTATATTGCCATGGCTAAGTTCTACATCATTTAACTTATAAGTGCTAGGGTTATGGGCACTCCCAAGCTTCAGAACCTTGCATTTATCTACATTGAACTGCATCTGCCACTTTTCTGACCAAGAGTAGAGTTTGTCTAAATCCTCCTGAAGTTCCCTAACATCTACGTTTGAATCAATTATCCTACCTATCTTCGTGTCATCGGCGAATTTGCTCATATCACTAGTAATTCCTTCATCAAGATCATTGATATATATTATAAACAACAACGGGCCCAAGACTGATCCCTGTGGAACGCCACTTGTTACTGATCCCCACTCGGATTTAACCCCATTTATTGACACTCTCTGCTTCCTGTCTGTGAGCCATGATTCGATCCACGAGAGCACTCTTCCCCCAATGCCATGAGCTGCTACTTTCTTCAACAGTCTTTGGTGCAGAACTCTATCAAATGCCTTACTAAAATCTAAGTAAATAATATCAAATTCTTTATCGTGGTCAACAGCCTCAAAAGCTTACTGAAAAAAGTTAATAAATTAGTTAGACAAGACCGGCCTCTTGTGAATCCATGCTGAGTATCATTAATCAAGCTATGCTTATCGAGATGGCTTCTTATAATCTCAGCTATAATTGACTCTAGTAATTTGCCTACAATTGAGGTCAGGCTTATTGGGCGGTAATTTGACGGTAACGACTTGTCCCCTGTTTTAAAAATAGGAATTACAT